TCAGCAAAACACGCGCAATTTTCCTGTATAACGTCCCATTTTTATTCGAATGCATGCCAACTTCCACCCTCAATCCTAAGCAAAGTTCGAATAAGTTCGATTACTAATTTTTTCGTGAGAGTTCGATTGTGTTCGATTACTGAATTTAGTCATACGTTAAGGCGATTCGATTAATAAAACGTTCGATTTGGTTCGAGTCGTTACGTCGGGACTAATTTGAACTATAGCGGCTAGGAGTGATTTGGCGAAGGATGCTTCACGCATTTTGATCAGATTATCACAGATTTTTCTTATAAACATGGCATTTGCAGCTTACGTACTGGAAAATGCAATTTTGTTGTTTTCCCCGGGTGTGGCATTTGCACGCTTTTTTAAAGCCCCACCGTGGGGTTTTTGTATGAACCGCCCAGCCTCAAGGGGGGGCAAAGATTTCAGCAGCTTTACCAAAGAAAAATGACAAATGCCCGATAGATCTGATAGATGCGCGGGGGATGGGCACGTTTGGAATTGACTGAGCCATTATCACCTCGCACTACGGCCTGGGGGAATTATCACCCCTGGAGAGGATTATCACCTCTCACTACCCCGGGGATTACTTGGATTATTACACCATTGTGTAGAGAAAAGTGACCTGCTCTCCATATTTGGATTACTTCATCTCTTACCCCTTTTCCTCACAAACATTCTGGTCTAGTTCTTTGCTTTTAGCAAAAGAGTTATGGGTTGGGAGCATTAAAAGCCAAGTACAGAGCGGTTGCTATAGTTTATTTTCAAATTGACCTCTGTTAACCTGACAGAACATCTGCCACCCCTGCATCAAGGAATGCAGCCGTTGTCTGTACCATATAAATTTCTCACTGTTTTCGATAATGAGACTGACAGATCTCTGTCTTCGCTCCAAGTATCTAAGGCGGTAGGTCCTGCCGGCAACATTTCCAAAAGGCTCTTTAAGAACTTTGAACCCGAGTTGGCTCTTATAATCCGGGATATTTATAAGCAGTCGTTAAGGGAGGGCTATATTCCATCTCTCATCAAATCATCAATTGTTAGTCCTCTCCCTAAGGTGATCCCTCCTAGGGCCATTGAAAGTGATCTAAGACCAATATCGCTTACGTGTACATTGGTGAAGGTTACGGAGGGTTTTACCTGCAGAAGGCTTATACCCCTATTATTTATTTATTTAATCAAGTTTCAGATTTACAATTACAATGATAATTAAATCAATCAATCGCTCAATCTGAGGTAGGCTTAAAACAGAGTACAAGACTCCTTAAAATAAGCCACCTATTATTACATCATAAATAGATCTAGAGAATACGCTCGCAAGGGGTATTCGACAACAGATTCCCTTTTGTACATGTTGCAAGCTGTCTATGAAGCGGTGGATAGTGCCGAGGCTTCTGCTCGACTGTTCTTCACTGATTTCACTAAGGGATTTGATCTTATTGACCACATCACTGATGCAAGAGCTGGCCAAACTAGAAGTCCATCCCGTTCTCCTGAAATGGATCGCACCGGGCCTTCCTGACCAACCGGTAACAAGCAGTTAGAATCAGAGGAACTCTGTCGGATTGGCGAACTCTGAAAAGAGGAGTATTCCATTGGGACAAAACTAGGTGTAATAGTTTTCGCAGTTATGACGAATAAATTCCTGTGTGACTATAAGCACCTACACATTAAATTTGTCGACGATACTACTCCTTGGAGATTATTCCAAGGAACTCTATAAGTTTGCTCAATGTCGTCGCAATAATTTCGCGATATCTCATAACATGAAACTAATACTCTTTACTATCAGCAAATTAAGAACGTATCGATTTCAAGAGGAATTACTTGACCTTATAAGATCCTATCTGTGTGATCGACTAAATCGAGTGAAACTGAGAGTTATTACTAGAGAAGCGAGTGGAAGCGGACTAAGAGAGGCTTTCCTCAGAGATCGGCCCAAGGCCCATTATCAGATGTAACATCTTCCAAGACGATTTGACATATCTAATTGATTCATCTCCCTCTATATATACGCGGACGACCATCCAATGTATGAAATAGCAGGGGACCTAGAAACAGCTAACAACAATCTAATAAGAAATGCCAATAATAACACACCTGGTTGGTATGCTAGCAATTTTCAAAAAGGAAACCTCAGTAAATATCACACTATGTATTTAATACATAACAGTACAGTAAGTGATATTCCATTACACTTTCAAGGAAACACCATCGAATCTTAGGCAGTCTTAAGTTGTTAGGTGTCACCATAGACGACCAGTTGAATTTTAATATTCATATTAATGAAATATGTAAGAGGGCGAGTCAAAGAGTCGGAGTAATGATGAGACTTTAAAAACTCATTCCTACCAATGCTAATTTAACTTTGTATAAATCAGCTATATTGCCCTACTTAACTTATTGCCATCTGACCTGGCACCTCTGCACTGCTTGTAACAAAAGAAAACTCGAACGCATGCAAGAATGAGCATTACGCGCACTTTTTCTGGACAAGCAATCGAGCTACAAAGCTCCACTGGACAAAAGTGATCTAATAACGTTACAGAATAGAAGACTGAAGGATATTGCTATCCTCATGTAGAAGGTTAAACACAAACTATGTCCCATGAAAATATCCGAGCTATTTCATATGCATTGTACACCTTACAACTTGAGAGTAGCAGTGTTCGCCATCCCCAGATTTAAGACCAAGAAATATGACAAACACTCGCTCACTTATTTGGGACTTAAGTTGAGGAATAGACTACCGGGCGAAATTAGGACCCTACCGACTTCCGACGAGTTTTAAACATCGTGTTCGGAAATGTGATTTAAAGTGCGATGGAAGATAATAATTGCACGAACTGCATTCTTTTTAACTCATAACAGAATGAAATTTTCCAGACTGGCTTTCTATTTTAGTTAGTTTTTTAGGCCTTAAGTAACAACGAATAGTTAGTAGGCTTTTGATCAGTTATTAGTTAATAATAGGTTTTCTTAATTATGTTGTTGAGTGTCCACAATTAGTACAGGGGTATTACCCTCGGCTAGCTACTTTGACACGTTCATAAAGTTCTTTTTGGTTGATTTTATTAAGCCAGCTAAGTGTAAAGAGATGTTTATTAATTTCCTTCACAATTCTAACTCCTAGCCTAACCCTATTGTAATAGGTAACAATATCATAGAGCGGGTTGAAAATTACAAGGTCTTAGGAGTAATAATGAACAATTAACTTAAGTGGAATAACCATGCAGATCTCATCGTCAAGAAAGCCAGTTAGAAGTTATACTCTCTTAGGATATTATGTAGGGCTGGTGTGGCCCAAGATAACATTCTTAAAGTTTATCTAAGTACAGTAAGACCTGTAATAGAATATGCTGATGACAGGCTGATTCCAGACTATTTATTCGATGTAATCAAGCGAGTCCAAAGAAGGGCTTTGAGGAAAAATTATCCTGAGGCTGAGTCCTATACGGTGGCCTTGCAATTACCAAATCTAAAGAAAAGAACTTGAGAGATCCATGACTTTTTTGTTAAGTCTTACATGGATAAGATGAAGTCTAAAGACCATCCTTTACACTTGTTATTGCCAAGGCCACTCATTAATCAGCCCGAGTACAATCTAAGGAAGAACGCAGACAAATTCTATTTGTTTAATGAAACTATTACCTGTAGGACAAAGAGGGCAGATCACTATTTTACATTTCGATATTTTAACTAGTATGATTAATTTTTATTGTAGTACAAATCAGAAGTACAAAGTAATTTTAATCATTAATTCCTTTTTTTTTGCTACAAGAGAGCCCAGTAATAAACTATTTCTTATTTCTTAGATTAAGTTATACACGTGAGATAAGCGTGTTCTCAGTCACAGTAAGCTTGTCAAGCACAAAAGCTAGATTTTACGCCATATTTGTCATATTTCATGTCCCTTCGCAACAAAGACACACCATCAATTATAAGTTGCAAAACTGAAGGCTTTAAACGAAGCTTTTTTCCGGCGATGTGCCTTTATGCTCATGGCATGTAATTTAGGAACTTACGGAAAATTTAATGTATAACTTGATATATATTTCTAGTTTCTAGTTTTTTTTTTATATCTAATTTATTGTATTATATCTTCTCATAATTGTAAGGCCCGGTCCATTTTGAACACGATGTAATTAGTTCAAATTAATTTTTTTTATTAATATCTATATCTTTGTAAAATAATTTCGTAATTCGCTTATTTCTAAGCGCGACGATTTTATCAATAAACCAGACTTATTATTATTATTATTATTATTGTTATTATTATTATTATTACTATTATTATTATATGACCCTATTCAGACCGACGGGGGGCCTTTTGGACCGAAACCCCGACTCCCCACGCCATCGCTAAAAATTTGAATAACTTCAACTGGCGCTGGTATCAGCTATGATCAGCAACCTCAGCGACTTTTCCTAGAAATAATCTGGGAACATTTTAAAGTAGTAGTCAGGAGTACGTCAACATTGACGTTTCCATGGCAACCGGGCTTAGAAAGCCATGTTTTTTTCCCTATAAAAAGATTTATTCGTATTTTTGCCTATTAAATTATAGCATTAAACTTATAGCAATATTTTATCAAATTTGTTATAACTGTTAGTGTAATCCAGACTCTTTTTGCGGCTGATTTGTACAGGTAATCACATGATTTCGAGTGTAATTTGGAATAAATAAGCACAAGTAAATTTTTTCAAAGGCTAACAAAATTGCACGAGCCCGTAGGGCGAGTGCAATTTGTGGTCTTTGAAAAAATTTACGAGTGCTTATTTATTCCAAATTGCACGAGAAAAATCATGTGATTACTTATTAATAATATTCATGAAAAAAATGCGAGATAGCTTTAAAATCACGTAAACCACGTGCAAAAATAATTTATTCAAGTGCTGCAAATATCATCACACGTGCAGTCAAAACAACATTTTTCTCGACGTTTTTAAAGTTTACAAGCCGCAGAAACGGGCTAAACAGTTCATGGAATCGTTCAATCTGTATCGGAGTCACTTTCGATGAAACGCAATCGCCGTTTGCAAGGGCGAATGGTAGGCGAAGTCTTGTTGTTGAGGTTGAATGTTACATTGCAGTTGGTGAAGGAATTCATTACATTCTGCGCTTGTGAACTCATCTTATGAGGAATTACTGCACTTGAAGTACAAGGACCAGGTGTATTACCCGCTGGCTTCGGTATGCTGTTCTTTCGTGAGATGGCCCACGAAAGCTGTCGCTGTTCGTCTTCGTCTGCTTCATCGTAGTCATCTAAAGATTGGATATTTCTGTAACCAGTGACTTTTGCAATTGCCGACCTTTCGAGATTCGCCTTTTTCATTTTGCTGACTACTGTTTTACGGGCACTGTGATTGGAAAACCGCTTCTCAGATGTCTCAAGGCTGGTTCCGGAGATGATGCTCTTCATCATGGAGTTGATTTTATTTTCTCCCATGGGCTGTACCTTGTACCAAATTTCGTCGTCGGCTCGTCTGTTGTACTTTATCGAGAGATAAAATGGACCACTCGTCGTCAGATTGGGAGGTCTACGGCTAATGTACTGACGAAATAAAACAACTGGACATTTTCCTTTCCCGGTCTGAAACATTTTGGGCTGGAACTGTCTTGGCTTTGCACTCAAACCTCCAGGTCTTGTTTTCGTAGGCCCTTCTGCAAACTCAACAAATTCGATGCCGTCGTCACCGTTCATGATTCTGAAATCCTCCAGTCTCATTCCGTGGTGTTCTTGCCTTCCACGAAGACCAAAGTGTTGGGTAAGGAGCCACCACATTGTTTGAATTAAAGATTCTGGGTTATTACCTCCGAGTTTTCCGCTCTTCCAGAGAATTTCTTCTTCCTCCTCTGATACTTGTCGAGCTTTGTTTGGGCGCTTACCACGGCCAGCCAAGCGAAGCTGTTTCGCTTTGCCTTCCAACACCTGTTTGGACGAACTAAATTCTCGGTCACGTACAATGGACAAGGTGTAGCCTTTGTTCTTTAAGTGTCTGTCAAGCGATGCCATCATTACTTTGAGGCTTTCTGGTTCATAATCTTCACCTTGTTTATTTTTTACTTCGGCGTAGAAATGCTCGAGCAAAGTGTTAAGCTCAGCCGGCTCATAATCTTCTATTTCATCTGTAATTTATTTCTCTAAGCACCACTTCTTCCAAACAGAGAGCCAAAAATCGGTGCTTTTTGCAGTGTTTTCGTTTTTGGAGCAGTTTTTCATGTCCTCTATAGTTGTTGCGGTCGCAAAAGCAAATCTGCTACAAACGCCAGCCATTGCGGTTTTTGCTCGAAACTGGTCAAGAGCGGATCCAAATTTTGCGCCAGCCATTCAGATGGCGCACTTGATTGGCTCTCAGTGAGTTCCTTTGTTTATTAACCAATCAGAATGCCTCGTTTGTTACCTCTTTTCTGCACTAAATTACCTTTTTTCTGCACTGCGTTACCAAAAAACTGCAAATCTCTTAGCCAATCACAATCGAGAAATTTTTTCATGTATATTATTAGAATTTAAAATGACCAAATGGTAGAGGGTCTTCAATAGGTTTTTCGGGATCCGGTATTTCCCTTATTTGAATCTCGGGATTCGGGATTTTAAAGCAAAATCCCGGGGAGATTCGGGATTGAAAGTATCGCTGGAGGTGCATGCGTCAAATGTTGCAAATGATGAGTAAATTTCTCTTTGTGATTTTGCTGATGGCCGTTTCATGAGCGGTTTTGAAGTTATAGCGGGGAGGAGGAGGGGGGGGATCTAGGAACCCAACCTTCCCGGTCGCCGTGAGCGAAAAATTGATTTGTTTAGAGTGAATTGTACTATTAAATGCAATTTGGAAGGTTTTTGGTGGATTTTGGACAGAAATAGACTCAAAATTTAGCTGTAACGAAAGCTCTGTGGAGAGTTACATTTAAAGTGTTATTTGTAGAGGTCATTACAAATTACATCCGAAATTATATTTGTTTATCCGTATTAAATATTCTTTATGATTTCCCTTGCCCTTAACTCCTCAATATATACACTCCGTCCTGAGTTTAGTCTTCAGAACTTGACTTAGTGTTTTAAAATTTTAATATTTTAGCGACACAACTTGTAATATCTAAGCAACTATCATTTTCATTTAGGTGCTGTAACTAAAATCTGGTTTGCACGCATGATTAGAAAAAGGTTAATTCATTGATTTATAGTTTATAATAATATTGCATAATATATGGGTAATAACTGAGTAAACATTATTTTACATCAGCGACGAAATTTGGCTGCAGCTAGAACCAAACATGGTAACGCATTTCGGGATGCTGCACTTATGAAAGAATTCCAGAACCAATGCGCCTATCCCCACAGTACTCGGGAATGTCCTTTTTTATTACACCTGGTCACTAATTAGGTGACGAGGCATTTGGCCATTCCATCATCGACTCCTAGAGAGTCTCAGTCATGTTGCTTTTCTACCTTGACGCGATGGAGCAAGCTATTCTCAAGCGACAACTACAACGTCCCGTCTCGCTATCCATTCTTACTTTTCCCTCCAGGATCGAGGATAGTCGCTCTTTTGATGTAAATATGGTGCTTTCACTTAGCCAGCGACCGTTCCAAGAGGTGACATCGGGTAGCTCGGTACCATCATTTGGTCCTAATGGTGAAGGTCGAGCGCCGGAATTTATTGACTATCCACATTCCCCACTCAAGAGTCACAGATCATATAAGACTTAAGAACGAGGTGCTCAGTCCTGGTGCCTGTATAGCCGCAGCTGATCTAGCTGCCAAAAGCCGGCCCTCTCCAATTCAACGCCAGGGCCTCAAAGCCAATACTCCTAGGCTCGTAGCATAATTGGGCCCACTCTCGTAGGCTGGTTGATCTTACTAGGGAGTCATAGTTGCTCCCCCGTTTACCCGCGCTTTTGTTGAATAAAAACGCTAACGCCTCCGTTTAAGCCGGGGGGTGTTCAGGTGATTCTCCCCTGTTTCCAAGGTTCTCTTCCGTCATCCCTCTTCGTGTCTTGCTTCGGGAAAAGGATCAAATTCACCCGGCCCCGCTGAATGTGCATTCTACTTCCATGAGTGCCACGGGTGGATTGTTGGGTTGATTACATTCGTCTGGGATAAGCACGCGATTTAAAGTTTGCTCATTGATTACTTTCAGCCCAAATTCTGTCTCGAGCTCCTTAAACAGGTTATAACTGATCCCATGGCCGCACTTGTCTATCAGTCTAACCTCTGGAAACTGCGGGCAAAAGTTTATTTCTGGGTCAGACCTGCTCTTGTCCCTTTCCGCATAAGAATGTTGCAAAAGGCCTTCAAAGGTACCTAGTAATTTCGGGAGTCAGCCACTTGTAGCAGAGATTCTTCTCCTCGGATGGCCATGGCAGTTCAATGGAACGAGTTTTTTATTTTCTTATTGAGAAGTTTCGCTAGATTTAAAACAGATTTGTCTCATCAGTTCAAAAGCAATTGGTTGGCCGCGTTTTTTGTTTTTTTGACGTTTAAACTCGAAGTTATCTACAAGGTGGATGGATATACAAGGATATTATTTCGCTGATAATTCAAAATGCCAATTCTGTTAGGGCCTGTTTACAAGGAGGGAGGGTAACCCAAACAGCAAGAGGGTTAAACTAGCGCTCACACATTTCTACTTATTATTTTTACGCGACGTGTTTACAAAGCATCCAGATAGGGTTGCCCTAGCAAGAGGGTTACCCTAAATGTACCTGCCTTGTAAACGCTCTACTAAGGGATAACTCATGACCAGTAACTCATGAAAATTTGAATGAGTTAACCAAGTTTTCTTGCTAGATTTTAAACATCTGAACAATATTATGTATTTTCTTTATGCGATGATAATACCTGACCTTTTTTCCGTATAACGTGTTTAAAATGGAGAATTCAAGATTTCGTCCAGTTCTTGGACGTTACAAGGCATGTTAGTTTAGTCTTCACATGACGAAACACATCAGTTAAGCCGGTTGACTCGTTTGACTCGTGTTGGCTTCCTGGGAAATTTTGCTTTTAACCAGAGTACCTTGAACCCTCTTGCTAGGGTAACCCTAGGACCAGGGTTACCCTCCCCCTTAGATACCATTCTCAACAAGTTTTGTATTGGAATTTTGTTACATCCACGCCCATTCTCCGCCTCTGCCTCGTCTCTGCCAGTACATTTACAGTTCCTTATTTCTTTAATTATAAATTCTAAGACCCTGAGCCGTTTGATATTAAGGTGTCACTGAAAGAATACACAGCGTCAGTAAACCTTCTCTGTCCCTTAATTGTTTCCGGAAGTTTCGGTCCAGCTCTCGGTGGTTCCATCACTACTATGCGCAAAATGCGTTATTGAAAGAACGATATCTTGCTTTACTGCCTATCAAATCCTTAGCACAGATGCCAGAAATCTCAGCAGCAATAGAACTCATGTTAGTGTTCACTTTCAGGTGCAACGAAGCGCTTTTTGTTGCCCTTCATCTGCTCTAAATGCTTTGACGCTACGCAACTTCTTCTGTGTTCTAGCTTGGTACTACACAGGTGATTGAGGGAAATCCTGTTCTCCTGTTGATAGATCTAGAATTTGACGGTGTTGCTTGATCAGCCCAACACGATAGAATCTCGCCCACGACTCTGCGTCTTTACATTGCATCAGACGCCCATCGCTCTCGCTACAGATCACACAACATTCTCGATACAGATCACACAAATTTCCTAGCTCAGTTCTTATGGAAGAATAAGACTGATCACAAAGATAACCCATGCATATGCACAACAACATGGACTGCACTTTCTATGGGATGATCCAGATCAGGATCGGTGATCCCAGATCACTGGGACCATGGTATATCAAGTGGACCGATAAATCCTTGTCGAGAGTGGATTAATCGGTTCGAATGGTCTAACATGATCCGAGTGATCTGTGATCACTAATCATGATCCGAATCATCTCAAAAGAACGCACCCTATTTAGCTGTAAGTACAAGTTTGGTTACTATGCAAGTATTGGCAAGAGCAACATCTGCATAAGTTTCTTTATCATGACTCGTCGTATCTGCGAAAATGTATTGTACCAACATTATTAATATATCTACCTAATTTCCGTGCATTAAGATCAAATTAGATGTTTACATTACCGTAGTTAGTATCGTGCAATCAGATTTTTTAAGTTGTACTTTGTATTAGGATATAAGAGGGTGTGAATGGGTTTAACCGACTAGCGACAAAGGGCGAAAAATATTACTGACTACCGACAAAATGAGTAAAAAATTACCGACTACCGACGGGAAAAATATTAACCGACTACCGACATGGACTGATATTATCAATATTTGTTTCCAGAAAAAAGAGCATTTTGTATTTAATCTAACCGTTAGCTCGAGGAAGTAAGTAACCTCTTTAAATTCATGACTCATCAGATGGCCTAAGGGAAAGAATTTCCTTTTGTTGTTGTTGACACAGGTATATTGCTACAGCCAATATCAAAATCACAAAGTCACACCTTAAAGATGCTACCGACTTTATAAATTTTATTGAAAAGTCAAAGGTGGAAAAACCGAACGTTTTTTGCTTAGATGAATCCTCAAAGAAAATTCTTTCCCGTTTAATGTAAAGAACTATCAGTACAAACCCACGATGAGCAGAAAGACAGCAGTTTCCTTTCCAACATTTTCATGGCACATATTGAAACACAAAGTTTAAGCAAAACCGTCTTTAAACCAACTGTTTGAAAACGCTACATAAATGACATTTTTTCCCTATGGGACATACGTAAACCAGACATCGTAGCTTTCTTCGCGGAACAAGTAAACTTACATGCCCTCCTATGAAATTCACGGCCGAAAGATCTGAAAATGAGACATTCTTTTTAGAAACGGTTGTATACCGAGGTACAACATTCAGCGAAAAAATGAGAAAAAGTTATCCTTGACGTAAAGACGCATTTGAAACGGAAACCTTACAGTATATACAATTTCACCTCTTATCACCCACCAATTGTTAAAGCGCCTGTTTGACAAACGAGAAGCCTTGAGAATCGTACGAACAAA